CATCTGTTGGCTTCGTGTTTCGTATTTTATCATCGCCGCCAGGGAAGTCTTTCTGTTACTGTTGCCATTTTGGTATTTGAACCATCACACCTGTACTATACCAATTACGGTAATATTACGTTGTGTGTGGCAAACGTTCAAATTTAGTAACTCGAATTTTTATTATCAATTAACCTAACTTTGAATTGCTAATTTCTGACTGTTTTGAGACATTGCTAAATATGCCGTCATATGGGATGTGTGACAGAATTGCTGAATATGGAAATTTTTTTATGGTACATTGCTTAATATGGAATATTATAGTACAATGTTCTTATGTCATATATATAACAGTCTGTCAGGAAGACAAACAGAAGGATGGTTTGTGTTTGATGAACCAGATCAGGACAAAAGTTTTCAGCAAAATGATTATCGTCTTTGCATCAAGACAGAAGTTCAAGGCAAAAATTCATATTCCAATGTTTCATTTCACAAACTTTTTTCATTCATTTGAAACATGTGCAACAATTTTTTTTGAAATATTACAATCTTTTGAAAAACAAATAACCTCTGTCTTATGAATCAATGTCTACATTTTATTCTCTGATCAAAGTCAGATGTTCAGGTGATTAACATACTCAAAAATTCTCACACCACAATGCATTCAATTTCAGGTAATATGTACAAAACAATTACTGTAAAATTTACGAGATTTGTAGAAATAAAATTCATGTTATTTGTTCTTATTAATCACAACTTTTTGTTATGAAAGTTGTGCTTTTATGGCATAGGAGCATCTGCCACTGATTGGTTCAAGTCCTATAATTTTAAAAGAAAACCAAATTATTTTGGTGAAATGTCCCAAGTTTGCGGCATTTCAAGCTTTTCTTCCATTTTCATCAATGATCTCCCACTGTGCTTCAAAGACTTCTTTCGACATGTTTCTTCAGCTCGTATATCAATTCGTAGTTTCAAAATTTGGGGTGGGGGTGAGGGAACAAGTTAAAAATTGATCTGTGATTCAGATATTTTGTAAACATTAATGAGAAGCTGCTAAACGACCTATACACCATCTGAAAGCTTACGCATGACAAATATGGTAGTGCTTAAGGCATACAAATCTTTGTCTCTGCGATTACCTCGTGGCAAATTTTGCTATTGTGTTTTCCGACTAATACTTTTTTTAAAAACTTTGAATTACACAAATGAACAAGGAATATCACAGATAGCTGTAGGCGAGACAATCGTGTTTTTCTTTTACTTTATCTGCTTTTGTTTTCTAGCTACAACCTGATAACCAGACGTGCTATAACAAGGCATTGTTTAGGCTCTATGGTCAAACCAACAGAGTTATTTTTGTGGTGAGCACGACGAGTGCAAGGTGTTCTGCATATAATACAAAGTGGGAATGCAACTTTAAATGAACAGATTCCAGGTGATGTAGACGGCAATTTCACATGCAATGCATTATGTAATTTTCTCATCAGGTCGCTTTCATCATATTGAGAATCTTTCTACAATATCACTAGATATAATCTTGGATCACCTGCTTATATGTTGTGAATTCAAGCAGGCCATACTGCCACCAATATTCTGAAAGTTGCTTTAATTCTTTGCAATATTATTCACGAGCCAACAAATTTTGTTGCAAGAGAAATTTCTGAGGTTCCGCGACATGGAAAGTGTGCGACTTTCGCTGAATTTTTTCTTTTACAAATGGCATAAAAACCTAGCAGAGAAAATTAAACAATACCTTGGCCTTGTTCACATGGCAACACGACATTAGAATAATAATGGCAATATACAATAATTCAACCTGATTCAAAACATGATTATCAAACTGTTTTAAGAACTCAACTTTAAATCCCATTTGACAATCAATCAGGGTCAGTGGGAAACTAGGCAGTCTGTATAATCTAGATCATTTTAACTACCCATTCGTGCACAAAACCAGTCTCAGAATTACTACATGTAGATGCATTAGATGTGACAGAGAAAAGACGATATACCTCAAATCAGTTTTGATCACTGGGCTTGTGCTGTATTTGTGATTCTCGGATGAGCAACATTTCACTTGAATATTTATTATGATTCAACTTTCATCACAAATCTTCCATACATGATGATTTTCACATTATTCTCAATTTTAAATTGAAATTTAATTTAAGATGTATAAAAAAATCTACATGCTGTAGTTTCACAGTAATTATATGCATCTACAAGTGGTGGTGTCTAAATTGAACTTTGTGGATGAATTGTGGATTCTAATAGTGACAAGCAATGGTATTCTGAATGAATAACATATTAATGTGAAAATCCCCCTGACTGCATATTTGTATGTTTATTGAGGATGTCAAGTATACTACACAAATTAGCTTTGAAGTAGAATTCCAATTCTTGTTTTAGATGTAACCTTGCAAATAGTATGGTTAATAATTGTGAATACACGACAAACTGTACAATTCTCAACTTGTATCTCAAACCACAGAAAACGGGCTTTCTAGTTTGTCATCACAACCAGCCATAAGACCAATGTTCATGACTACAATTGACCAATATTCTAGATACTAACTAAAGTACTATGCAGTGCTACCTTATTAAAGGAGAACCTTCCAAACCCAGGGATTGTACCAAAGAATCATGGGACACTATTGTTTATGTTGTTTAAAAGTTAATCTATCTTTTGTTATCCATTGTAATTTTAATCCAGAAAGTAAATTTGTTATGAGATTAGGCTTAACTGAAGTGCTCCTTTAACCTTTAAACTACGATACCGGTAACGGTAACATGCAAAATTTATTTATTGGGATTTACATTATAGTAAAATATGTTACGTGATACTTAGAAATATCATCGTCATTTATCAGGCAGCTTGTGGGATGGGGTAGGATTAAACATACATGTAAACATAACACAGAGGGTCGTCTCAGTGCAGTCTTTAAATGACTTGTATTTCTTGAATTCTTCAATTACCCATTGAATAAATCAATAATGTGACCACCTAAGTGACTCAATATTCAGTACTCAGAAAAGAGTAACAAAACTTATGACATACACTCACCATAAAATAATAATATGTGAAAATGACCTGTTTGTGAAAAAACATTTTACATAAATTAGCTGAACGAGCAGGCAGCTAAGTCAGGAGATGAATTTACTGGCCATATTATAGTTAATAAAAAAAAAACGAGGTTAAATAACGCAATAGCCAATAAAACTGGTAATTCCTCTATAAATAATGTATAATAAAGTTTATATTCGTGGTTGTATCCTCTGTTTGTAAATTCCAGCCAACACAAGAGCTGCTTGGTATATCATGTCCCTACGACTGACCCCAGTGAAGGCGAAATGCCAATCCGTATGGGATATATATGGAAAGTGCTGTTCAATTATTTCACCGACAGTTATTGAAAGTCCTGACCATCTTAAGCTGTAATCAGATGGGGTTCTCTCCTGCGCTTGTAACACGTATTCTATAGGTACAGGTGTTGCCTGTGTGAATGTCTCTAACTTGATACCGTTACAAGGATCATCCAGTACTAAACAACCGATATCAAACCATCTGAAAGAAAACCAACACACAAACAAAATAAATTTAATGTTGTATTCAAAGAGGATTAAGGAAATATTCAAAGATTTAACCCAATCCCAAAGAATGCATCTTGTTCGAGTGTAAAAACTAGTTTGTTTGCACAAAAATCAAACACACAGAATTAAACAACCGCCAATTTTTAATAATTGAAAAAATTTTGTTTTCATAAACAAAAGAAGCAAGTGTTGAGATTTGGCATGAATGAGGTGCACATGTTTCTAATAAGGAATAAATGTTAATGAATTCATAACACGTTCAAACACCTCCATACATTCTTTTACGGACAGATGAACCCTATTGTTTTCGGAGACAGAGAATGTAAAATAATTTTCAATTCAGTTTTGAAATGAAGAATTTACATTCATGGCTTGCATAATCTTTTCAAAGATTTGAACAGACTTTCTGATATTTCAAAAATCATAAAAACCTCTAAATGTTATAATTTTTTTCACAAAATTCTTTATAAAATTTTTTTTAAATGTTCAATACGTGAATTTATTTTTGAATAGTCACAAAAATTGACTTTGACATTCAAAAAGATAAATTATCACACTTACTTATCAGGAAGAAGTTCGGCGATAAAATTTTCAACAGAGACAGCTGGTTGTTTTTCATGCATCTGTGAATTCCGCCGAAGATTTTCTATTCTTTCTTCCGCTCCTTTTAGTCCGGCTGCATAGCCTTCAACTTGTGGTGCTATGTTCGGTTGAGATGGTTGCCCGGTTACTGTTGCATGACCGAAAACTTTTTGAAACGCATCTCTAACTGCAGATACCTTGACCTCTTTATCTGATGTTACCACAATGTCCACGTCACCTCCGGATTCTGCAATAATAACATTTATGTGAGACAAATCTGGTCTCAGTATTATAAAGTACAAGCTAAACAGTGTTGCTTGCCACCAACTAAAGTTTGAACATGAAAACTCTGAAACTGCGTTCAATAAAACAGAATGGCCACCAGTCAGCCATTTTGAATCTGATTTGAAAAACAAAATGCATCAAGGCCCCATAATATCCAATGTATGTACAAGTGAATCCATACATACACGATTGAGATCCGATTCCGGAAAGGCAGAAATGCTCGATTTTGATGAATTTTTAACAAAAATGGCCGCCATTTGGCCATCTTGAATCGAATCATGAATTGAAAAAAGATTTTGTTACTTACTAATTATTGGTGCCATACCAGGGTCTAAAGCAGTAATCATAGATTCAACTGAGCTCTAAAAATGAAACAAATGAATACTATATTCACACACACACACACACTACTGGCTTATGGCTTTTGTCAGGCACAGTAAGCAATGCAGGGCATTCTGTGGAAAGTTTAATTCTAGATACCAAATTTGCTCTATTTGTAGGGTATACCTTTACGTAAACGACAGAGATGATCCACTATACATTAACTATTGGTTCATATGAGCTTCTACTGGAGATTTTAAAAAGGACAAACATAGTTTCTGATCAAAATCTACAGCTTGAGTCAACACCTTCATGTTGATTTTTTATACATCTTGCATCTACAGACACTATTACCTATTCTGAAAATCTTAAAATGAAAAAAAACACACACTCTACCTTGGTTTTCTCGGCCACTTTTTGCACAATAGAACTGCCTTTGAACCATCCCCACATACCACCTTCAGCATTGGCTTCTTGATGTTGTTCAAGCATTGGAGGTGGATATGAAATACCACTCTCTACTGTAAGCTGTGTCGATGCACTGCTTTCATATGGTGATTGCATAGGTACGGGTGGTGGCACTGCCATCTGTAACCATGGAGATACTAGAGTCAATGCAAATCCACCTGTAAGATTGTGCGTGATTGGCTAACCAACCCAACTCAAAAACCTAATAGACCAATCGGAGAGCAGCTTGTTTGTTGATAGGTTTTTTCAACATATCAAATTCTATCTTCTACCGGTCATTGGTAGCATAGTGGTTGTTGCATCAGACTCATGGACGGTAGACCTAGATACAAATCCTACCTTAGGCTGAACATCAAATGGGTCAATCCCAACCCTGGGTGAGTGTGAACAGAATTAATAGGAAGGCCTATTCCACTGGCCAAGATTCATTCACTACGATTTTAGGGGTTCAACCTAGCCTGGTTGACGCCAGGATAGCTGATTAAAATTGCCATTTGATAGGAAGATGGCCACACAGCCCTGTCATGTAGTCCCAAACATGAATATAAGTTCTGAGGCAAAAATGAACTATGAATCAACACTAGCACTTGCAATTTACACTTACAAAACAAAAGTCAAGGAAGACAACAATGGCATTCAATGTCCGGAACTGTCGCCTGGCGCAAAAATAATTTAAAAAAAAAAAAAAAAAATCTATTTCGTATATATGCCTCAACTTGTAAGTATGTAGATTATCTCTGGAAGGTAAATATAAGCCAAAACACTGTTTACAAATGGCTAAACATCAACCAGAACACCCCAGAGCAGAAGTAAACACTCTTGAATACTTGATCACTGCAGTAGAACAGTCTACAAAACTTAATAACTAAAAATGTGACAAACAACCCCCCCCCCCCCACTCTCTAGTTTCAAGTGAAATGTTTGCATAAAACCTTTTATTCGATAAATAATTCCTAGTTGGAACCCTTTCTAAGAAGCAGACGCATGTAACTGGTATTACGGCGAAAGGATCGAATAATGCCGGATTCAACATTTGATTAACATTTTGCAAGACTGGGAGCTGCACATTTGTGTGGCGCTGTCAGTGTGTGAAGAAATGAGAAAAATAATTGCTTGGAGAGGACAAATTTGTAAAATTACCTCATTCACAGCATTAACTGGAAACTCTGGATACTGCATTTCACCATACTGCTGTACATTGCTAACATTAAGATCCTCAGCTGCTGGTCCTGGCTGATCCCCAAGAGATGGTTCCACAGGTGGAGATGGTGTGAAGATGTGAGGCTGGTCAGTGGGATCTGACTGGGACAATGTTGGACCAGTAGGAACAGTAGGCATTGGCCCAGACAGACTTAAAACTGATTGAACAGGTGGGTTCACCATGGAAACAGCTGAAAAAATAATAGATTGAAGAGAAAAGCTTGAAGCAAAGATAAAATGTAGAAGTAGATGCATCAAACACAATAGAAGAACTGCATAATTCATAGAGATAGCAGACATTATGACTAGTTTCGAAAATTATGTTAGATTGATGGTTTCAATTTTCTTGTACTATGAACTGATACAACGATGTCCATCTGACACAAAGACGATAATCCAACAAAGGCTACCTCATGTGATCTATGGCAGGTAAGAAGGCAGACAACGGCCACCTCATGTGATCAAAGGCAGGTAAGAAGGCAGAAAATGGCTACCTCATGTGATCAACGGCAGGTAAGAAGGCAGACAACGGCTACCTCATGTGATCAACGGCAGGTAAGAAGGCAGACAACGGCTACCTCATGTGATCAACGGCAGGTAAGAATGCTGACAACGGCTACCTCATGTGATCAACCGCAGGTTATAAGGCAGACAACAGCTACCTCATGTGATCAACGGCAGGTAATAAGGCAGACAACGGCTACCTCATTTGATCAACGGCAGGTAAGAATGCAGACAACGGCTACCTCATGTGATCAACGGCAGGTAAGAAGGCAGACAACGGCTACCTCATGTGATCAACGGCAGGTAAGAATGCAGACAACGGCTACCTCATGTGATCAACGGCAGGTAATAAGGCAGACAACGGCTACCTCATGTGATCAACGACAGGTAAGGAGGAAGATCTTAAGCAGTATATAGTAGGTAGGTTCTCAATTTCATGCAACAGATATGCAATATGCCACATCACATATTCAATTTTCTGCATCACACATGCAATTCAC